AAAAAAAAAAAAAAAAAAAAAAAAAAAAAAAAAAAAAAAGAAAAGAAAAAGAAAAAGAAAACACCAAATTCCCTAAAACACCCAAAACCACAAAATGGCCGACCCAACCCCCCCCGCCGCGACCCCCACCCCCAAAGACACCACCTTCCGCGCCTTCACCACAACCCAAGGCGCCTCCTACGCCCAACACCGCCTCAACTACCACCCGCGCCTGTACGGCCACGTCCTCGACTACCACAGCGCCACCGGCGGGCAGTTCAACCTCCTCGTCGACGTCGGTTGCGGTCCCGGAATGGCAGTCCGGACGCTCGCGCCGCATTTCAAGGCTGGCGGTGCGGTTGGGCTGGACCCGTCGGAGGGAATGGTGGAGACGGCGAGGAAGATTTTGGAGGCTGATTTAGTTGAGGCGGAGGAGGCGGCCGCTGCTGATGGGGGGGAGAAGAAGGAGATTGCCAAGGTGAGGTTTGAGGTGGCGACGCTGGAGGAGGCCGCTGCGAAAGAGGAGATTGGGCTTGCAGAGGGGAGTGTGGATTTAATCACTGCCGCGACGGCCGCGCACTGGTTTGATATGACCACTTTCTGGCCGACCGCGGCAAGGTTGCTCAAGCCCCGGGGGAGTGTGGCGTTGTGGTGTGGTAGTGGTGTGGTGGTGGACCAGTCGGAGCCGCAGGGGACTGCGATCCAGGAGGCGCTGGACCGGTTTGAGGTGGCGTTGGATGAGTATATGATGCCGGGGAATCGCACGGCGAGGTGGGGGTATAGGGATTTGGTGCTGCCTTGGATGTTGGAGGGTGAGGCGGGAGAGAATGCCAAGGCGTTTGAGGAGGGGGAGTTGTTGAGGAAGGAGTGGGGGGTTGGGGAGGGGCTGGAACCGATTGACCAGTTTTATTTTACGCCGACGGATCGGCCGGCGAGGTTGGATGTGTTGGTGGGGATTTTGGCGACGACGAGTCCGTATATTCGGTGGAAGGAGGCGAATGGGGGGGATGCGGGGACGGAGAGGGATCCGTTGCAGGTGATGAGGGCGGCGATGGAGAAGCCATTCGAGGAGTTGAAGGCCGCTGGGTCGAGGTTGAAGGGGGGTGTGGGGGGTGTGTTGTTGGTGTTGAAGAAGGCTTAGGGTTCTCGGGAATCTGCGTGGGAGATATAACGTGGCTTGGGACGTTAGATGTGGTAGTGGGTGGCTCGATTCCGTGTTAGTTTAGTGTCGTGTAGGGAATATGAATGTCTGTCCTTGATGTTCAGTCGTGGAAATGGTATGGAGTGACCACATCCGGCTTGGAGAACATGCATCCGTCTCTGCTCGGTTCGAAGGACCCCGGCGTGGGAAGCGTCGGCGTCCCATTACCCGAGCAGTTTTACAAATATGGCCGGCCCTAAGCGCATCTAGTAGGACCAATGTTCCGTACATTTCTTGCTGGTCTTCACTTTGAAGAGGTTCTTGTGAGAGCTTCTTGCCAGGCCGCCTTTAAAGAGGAGCAAGAAAGAAAAGCTTTTCGCAAATAGATTGTCTGAGAGCCTTTTAACGCCCGCCCTGGCCACGGATCGTCGTGACTGACTCGTGGAGTGGCCCTGATCACCACTGTTTGGTGGACATAGCTATAGCCCACTACTATGGAGCTACGGGAATTTTCCGGATTTGGTTTCTGTGGAATTAATTATTATCTTGTAAAGAGAGAAATCCCCATAATTTCTCCATTGAATCCTCGTTGCTTAAGAAGACAGGAAAATAAATGTTCAAATTTTGGGCACGGTCATGGAGAAACGGCTCGGGCAATTTGATAATCCACACCTTGCTAAAGTCATCACAATGACATCGACACTCGGCTTGGTCCGGCCGCATCGGATATAAAGAATTTGTTTTTGTTGTCTTTTCCGCCAAGACATAAATGCCGAATCACGACACATGTCTGTGATCTGTTGTGTCGGCCCTCGCCAATCCTGTCCGAACTTCGGACGTCCGTATATAGCCTCTCGGTGGCTAATATAACCTCCAGAAAACAGCACAAACAATCCTCTAACCATAGAAATTTACGAATGTCCACATTTTGTAAAAACTCCATCTCAAAATGTACATCACCCCCCTTGAAGCCCACGACCTCGCTCTGTCAACCAGCAACGGCCACACTGCTCAACTGCGATCCCTCGTCACCAAACTCGCGCAACGAGAGGGCAAATCCCCGGCGGACATCCTCTTAAACCTCCGCGACGACTTCAACCAGACACTCGCCCACACGGCAAGCAAAGCCGGGCAAATTGGTATCTGTTTCTCCTCAATTCCTAGCTCCCCATTCATTCCACCATGATCAATAATTGACATTAAACAATCTTCTCTCCCAGCCTCCATCCAAACCCTAGCCGACCTCCTCCACACCCGATCCAACAAAACCCTCTTCTTCAACCTACCCAACCGCTTCACAGGCGACCGGCCAGTACACACGGCGATGCGGCTCGGGTATATGAGTGTGCTGAAGGTGCTGGTGGAGAACGGGGCCGACCCGACGGCGACGAACCGGTTTGGGGATACGGTGGAGGATTATTTGGGTGATTTTGAGGAGGGTGAGGTGAGGGGGGTTGTGGAGGGGTATTTGAGGGGTTTGGCGGGTGGAAGTGGGAGTTCAAGGGATGAGGATTTGGGGGTGAAGTGTGGGAAGTAGGATGTAATTACTTTCGACGGGGGGAGCGGGTTAAAAGAGCAGTGATGTAAGTACCTACTCATAATTCTAGGTTTGGGAAGATGCCAAACAATGGACAAGATAGGCTCCGAATCCACGGGGAAGATAGGTTTCAGGGGCCCCTCCCTCGTTTTCCCCTCATTTCCAGTTTCTTTGTCTTTCAATGTGCCGGAGATACAACCCTCTAGAAAGGTCCGTCGCACAACTGAGTGCTGTCTTTGAAAGAGAAATCGCAGCTTATGCGGCAACGTTCTATCGATATCAAGTTAACTGTATTGAGAGCGACCTGGACCGATTTGTTGTTTTATAATCCCCAGGCCGATTGGCCTCACCTTGGTTGGTAGATCCAAATACCCCAGCTCCGTAGCAACACTTGCGAATCATGATACCTAACTGAGACCATCCGCAATATATTGATCCCATGTGCCCATCCTCATCCTCCACAAACACCCCAACTTCCTCACCATCCTCCTCCCGCTCCCCCAAAAAGCCCCATCAATAACCTCCCTAACTCTCCTCACCACCGCCCAAACCATGCATGATCCTTTCCCATCCCTAGCGTCCCACCCCAGCCTCCCCGTTGGTCTCCCTCTCTACTCTAGTGTGTCTCACCACAGCCCGTATCAACTCCCACACTCCCACAACGCTCCCACGTTCCCCTGAATATCCCCGCTCCATTCCATCCGCAGTCGCGCAATTTCAAGTCTCACAGTTCATACCCTCGCAATACACAAGCAAGGTACCCTCCCGCATGCAGTGGCCGTGGTATCATGTGCCGTTGCAACCGTTGCCATGAGCAAGCGGTCTGGAAGAAAAGAATCCAGTTGTGTTATTGAAGGAACGGGACACAACACGGGACTCACCTCGTACGATTACCGGGATGGGGTAGGGCACGTACGACAGTTTGGCGTGGCATGGGGGGACGGGAAGGGACAAAAGTACGTCGGTGTCACGAATTAGGTTGGTTTGGTGTTTTACGAGGTGGGTCGGGGGTGTACGAGGGGTGAATGTTGGATATTTTCTTGGTTTTTTTTTTTTGTTTCTTGGGGGCTTGGCTTTTCTCGCTTTTGGTAGCGGGGCAGTAGGGTAATTAGGTTACCAGTGGGGATTGAAGCGGATTTGATGGCGGGTCTGAGATTCCATTTATACTGTGTAATTAAGTGGTGAGCTAAGAGGAGAGTATTAATTAATTAGTGGAAAGACCTAGTTAGGTGAGATGCTGTCGATTACGGAATGCTTGTATGATATTGTAACGACCGGTATGAGTACAGCAACGCCTAAAAACCCTAATGTTGCCCATATGCCGAAACGAAACGCTGCTAAACGAACGCAGCTGCGGATTTACCCTTAAAACAACCAGAAACCAGAATTCCACCCCAACCAACGCCAATTCCATCCGTCCCTCACCATTCAACCCAACCCAACCAACCACCCACCTCCACCCTTCGTCAGTTAGTTCCTTAACCTAAACCCTCCCCCTCGCAGCCTCATAAACCCCCCTAATATCCCTCTTCCAAGCATCCACATCCACCCTCACAACCCTCCGATCCATCGTCATCAACCCGTTCACCTCACCCTCCACATCCGTCGTCTGGGTATACACCGCCCCGCTGCACTCATATTTCTCGACCTGCTCGCGCAGCAGGGTCATCAGCGTGTGCGCGCGGTAGTGGTAGGATTCGGCGGTGGCGTGGAGCTCGTAGGTCTGGTTGATTGTGTCGATTGCGCCTTGGAGGGGCCAGAGGCTAGATTTCTAATTAGTGTTGTTTTTGGGTTTGGGGTTGAACGGGGAAGAGGAAAGAGGGAAGAGGGGGAGGTACTTTTCGTCGGCGGGACGGAGACCGATGCCGCCGTATTCGCCTTGGAAGCCGATGCGGCGGGAGTCGTGGGGGGAAGAGGGGAGTGAAGACCAGGGGGTGCCGCATTGGGGTTCGGCGTAGTGGTGGTTGTCCTGGGATGTTAGCCTTCTTTTTCTTTTTTCTTTGTTTCCGCTTTGTATATCGAGAGAGAGGGGGGAAGAGAGAGAACTCACAGAAAAATCCCCCGCGCCAAAATCATTCCACCCCGTAGTACTATCCACCAACCTCGTCGGATCCCACTCCCTAACCCGATCCGTCAACACATACCCATCCGTAAACTGGCCCCAGCCCTCATTATAAATGACCCACGCCACAATCGACGTGTAGCTCTTATGCTCGTCCACCACCACCGCCAACTGCCTCTCAAACTCCGCCTCCTGTTCCGCACTCGCCCGCGAATTGTCAAACACCCGCATCGACGGCATATCCTGGATCACCATCAACCCGAGCCTGTCACACGCCTCGTAGAAGAGATCTGGCTCCACCTTGATGTGCTTGCGCACCATGTTAAAACCAAGGCCCTTGATCACTTTCAGATCATACACCATCGCGTCCGGGGTAGGAGGGGTGTAAATCCCATCAGGCCAGTACCCCTGGTCAAGCGGGCCGAACAGAAAGACGAATTCGCCGTTGAGCAAGGGCCGTTGGATACCGTTGACGCGACCGGTGGCGATGGTGCGGAAGCCGGTGTAGCTGTGGACTTCGTCGTCGCCGAGCTGGACGGTGACGTTGTAGAGGGTGGGGGAATCGGGGGACCAGAGTTGGGGGGAGGAGACTTGGAAGGTGAAGGTTTTGTCGGAGACATGTTGTTGGGTGGCGACGACTTCGCCGTGGGGGCTGGCGAGGGAGATTTCGATGGGGGTGGATTTTTGGGTTGCGCTGTGGACTGTGACGGTGACTGTTTGTGTGTCAGTTTTTATCTCGTGTTTCTAGTTGTCGGGGGAAACGGAGACTTACCCTCGCCGTGCATGTCCGCCGTGAGGTCGAGCGAAGAAATATAGTTCTTGGGCACGCTCTCAAGCCACACGCTCTGCCAGATGCCCGAGCAGGGGGTGTAAAAGATGTGCGACGGCCGCTTGGTCTGCTTGCCCTGCGGGATGCTCTCGTCGTCCGTCGGGTCAAACACAAAGACGTGCCTGTTTGACGTGTTAGCACTACCCCAAATCCACAGATAATTAAACAAAAATAAAAGGTTCGCGAAGGGCTTACAAAACATTCTCCCCCTCCTTCAACTGGTCCGTCACATCCACCCCAAACCTCGTATACCCCCCCGTATGCTCACCCACCTTAACCCCATTCACAAAAACCGTCGTCTGATAATCCACCGCCTCAAAATTCAACACCACCCTCCTCCCGCGATCCGCCCAGTGCCGCGGCACCCCAAAAGTCGTCCCAAACCACATATGCGTAACGCTAAAACTCATATCCATGACCCCCGAAATCCCGCTCTCGATGCACGACGGCACGAGGATTTCTTTGGACAGCGGGAGAGAGGGTAACTGGCTAGTGTCGGGGGTGGAAGCAGTGGAGGAGGGCTGGTAGCTCCAGATGCCGTTGAGGGACTTCCAGGCATCGCGGCGGAGTTGGGGGCGAGGGTATTGCGGCCAGGGGTTGGAGGGCGCTTTGCTGGTCCAGGGGGTGTCGAGGGGTGGGGTTTGGAGCTGGTAGGGGGAGGTTGCGGATACGGAGGCGGTGTTGGGCCATGCTAGGAGCAGGCTGATGAGGGTGGGGAGGAGGCGCATGGTGAGAGAGGGTTGTGGTGGTTTTGTGGGTTAATGTTTTGGTGCGAATAATGCGGGGGTAAGATAAGAAGAAAATCAACGAGGTAGGCAGGGTAACGGTCAAAAACTGTGAGCAAACTTGTTCGTCTGCCACAGACTCGGCCGAGAGGAGGGAAGCGAGCCGAAGAATCAAACAAATCAACTCGGCGAGTAAGGAGGAAGGGGGAAATGGTCAAGGCGTTAGGTCATGGCCGTTTTACAAAATGGGGAGGTTGGGATGGCTGGGTTTTATAGTTGAGGTATCCACCGTCGCTGGGGTTTATTCGTCTGAAGTCAATTATAAATGAATGAGGCAGGTAGGGATAGTAAAGTGGGTGAGTGAGTGAGTTGAGTGAGTCGGCGAGTGCTTGTCAGGGAGAATAGCATCATCCAACATCCCCGGCTATCCACTTGCCGCTTGGCCCAATCCCATCCTTGGACCTGCACCCCAGCCTGACCTAGACCGCGCAGGTGAATCAACGATCGTGTGCCTTTGTATGGCTTGGGCAACAATGCTGTCGATGCCAAGAACCCCCGGACCGAAAGGATCGTGGAGACGGTGTGTGCTGCCGCAGGGTCACGGGGTGGTATTTTTCATTTCCGTTGTCTGTTTGATTGTTTTTTTTTTTTTTTACTCCTTGGCCTTGTCGTGGTGTTGGGCCGTCAGCCCCGGTGATCCAGGGCCAGAAGTGGCAGTGCGGCCAACGGCGTCGGCTTCGAATCCGATGACGGGGTCCTGCGAGGCATCATCGGTCGTCTTTTTTCTTTTATCTGCGGCTCCGGCTGTGCCGTGTCCGGATGTGCACGACGGCTCGCGACCTTCCCAGTTGAGAAAGGTGGACGGGTGACGACGGCCACTGGGAGCCCGCATCAGCTTGTCAGTCTATGACTTGGAGCTGCCGTACCGTACTACCCCAGCAGATCTCCCAGGATCTGTCCGGTAAGATACAGGTGTTCGTCCTGGAACGTTGGAAAAAAAGGGGAGCCTCGGGGTGGCTGACGCGGGGAAAAAAACCATGAGACTGCAGACGAAAAGAAAAAAAAAATGAAATGGGCGGTCGCGTGGGACGGGCACATGTGCTGCAGTGCTGCACTGCAGGCTGGTGTCTCGCTCTGTACGACCTTCCCGAGTGTGGTACCTCGACGCTCTCTGTGAGTCCAATAATAACTTGCAATGTCTTGTGCGGTGATCGGCGCTGCAGTTGGGCCCCCAAAGGGATCAACGCAACGTGTGATACACAAGAGCGGGTGCGGAACGCTGAAATACCACGGTAGGTACTAAAAAAGCATGCTGTGGTAATGTACCGAGGCATTCCGTGATTCCGACCCGGCGAGAGGGGTCTTAGCAATCTCACCGCTTGCTCGGAAGAGTAACTTACGGCCCGGGCGGCAAATCTTTGAATTTTGTTTGCAAAAAAGAGAAAATGAATTGCAGTGCTATGGAGAGTGGAGTTTTTGAGTAGACTTGCCTCTAAAAAGTGGGTTTTGAGACCCCTGAATCACTGAGCCGCGCAGAGTTCAATTTTCATCAAATATAGGAGAATCTATTGAATATTATTCACACAACACTTTCAGCACCTTCACCCTCCCCCACAGGCTCCCACGGGGTCTCAGTCAGATGCTTCCCCAGATTTCTTGGCGTGGTGACCACAAAAACGCCAGAGATCAAAAGATCACCTGTGAGCCAACCAGCGGCCAGACTAGGGATCTTGGGCTTGTCTTGACAGAGCGGGGAGGCGGGGAAGAGGGGTCCGGGGAAGAACAAGATGAGGGGAAAAGTCGGGGAAGCTGCGACTCGCAAGAACTCGGGACGCAAAAGAAGAAAGCAAACTGGTAGCTCTTTCCTTTTTCTATCGTTAAAGACAAAAATTTCAGCTGTTTAGGTCCTTCCTCACGGGACAAACATCTGGACCCCCGCTTCACGGCTCGACATCCGAGCTCAGCTTAGTCAGATTGAACGGGATGGTTTCTTCAAGGATCTGTAGGGATTCCGTTCCGCGCTCTGATCTTCTTTAATCTCATGAAATCCGGGAATTCAGTTTGTCAAGAACGTCATACAAGCAACCAACAAACACTGCCTCAGCAACTCCCACACGCCCAGCCATGCCAGCTCCAATGACCTGTCGTCGAGCACCCCGGCCAGACCGCTCGCTTGACCGCTACCGTTGCGTCCGCCGTAACGTCAAGGGAGCCCGGGCGGATCCCCCAGGCGGCCCCAGACGGCTCCAGGTGAGCCCCGGGACGGCCAAGACGGCCAAGACGGCCTCGCAAGGCCTGGCGAAGGTAATGTGACCACGCATCCTCCCCGCGCGACGATCCAGCGATCGGCGGTGGTCGGTGGACCGGTGGTGCCCAGCTTTTGCTCCGATCCAACCACGGGCGGCCACGGCCTTCTCGGCATTCTGGTTACCGGGTCCTACAGCTCGACTACCGACCCACGCGCCGGGTTGCGGCTGCGCGACGCTTGAGGAGATCCTGAATCGGCGATTCAGGAAGGTCGGCACTGTCGGACTCTTCTATTTCGTCGTCGTCGTCGTCCTCCTCCTCGTCGGTTTGCAGGTAGTCTTCCCCCGGAAGGCCCGGCTCGACATGCTCGCTGAGTTCGTCGTATTCCCCCGCATCGTCATCATCATCATCATCATCCATATCCACATCCTCCTCACTCGGCTCATCCAACTCTGCATCTTCTTCCCCGTCCGCCTGCGCCCGATCATACCACTGCCTCATCCGCGCATTCATGTGCCGCGCCGGGTCGATCTCATAGTCGCCCTGCGTAACCTCTAGTAGCCGCCGCCATAGCACTCTCTGCGCGCGATAACCCTGCTGTAGGTCCCGCTGCGCCTGGTCAAACCGGGCGTGTAACTCGTCTGCCAAGGGTCCGTGGGCGCGCAACCCTAACCCTAGCCCGAACCCGAATGCTTCCTCGGTGCTTTCTCGCCTGTTCTCGTCGTTGTTTTCATCGCTGTTTTCATCTCTGTGGATCCAATCGTACTCAGCGGCCTCCTCTTGACGACGGCGAGCCTCCTCTGCCTTGCGAGCATTGCGTTCAACGAGATACAACTCCCCCCAGCCCCCTGGAAACCCGCCTCCCGGCTGTGGGCTCCATGTATTCTCACGGCCCCTCATCCCGTTCTCGTCCCTCTCTTCCCCATCCTCCTCTGGACTCCCATTCCGAGATCTAGACCTAGACCTGGCACTATCCCTTTCCCTGCCCTGTGTAGCACCAACCTCCCGCCCATACCCCTCCAACCAAGCCCCCGTCTCCTCAACCACCCTCAACCTCGACTGTGCCCGCAACCGGTTCGCAAATAGCCAGATCCGTAAGAAAACAGTCATCTCAATCCGTTCAAGCTCCCCATCGATATACCCTTGTAGCTCAGCAGCAAACGCATTCACGCCGTCCCCATTTGCTGGCCTGTTCTCCTTATCACTCCCCTCACTCCCACTATCCCCATTACTACTCCCCCCACTCCCACCATCATCAGGATCAGGGTCAGGGCCGACCCGATTCGGGTCATCATACTCCCCCGGACTAAGACTCAAAAACGGGATCCGAATCGGTGTTGAAGACTCAGACCCAGGGCGGCCAGGCGGAGAAGAGCCAGGCGAAGAAGAAGAAGAAGAAGAGTCAAAATTCGGACTCCCCATCCCATAACCGGGTCTATGTCTACGTCTATTATTAATATCGGCACCAAAACTCGGCCTGCCGGCACCACGGTCCGGTCTGGTGACGCGCGGCCCGTCGGTACGCGGGATCGGACGCGGAAGGGGACGCGAACGTGGGTAGGGGGTGCCGGCTTGGGTGCGGTGGCTGTTGCTGGGTCTGGGTCGGGGTCGGGGGGTGGAACAGCGTGCGGAGGGGGGGAGGGGTCTGTTGGGGATGTTGGATCTGCCTGGGGCGGATCGGGGTGGTGGTCGGGGTATGGAGCGAGGGCCTGGACGGGGTTGATGGGCGGATTGAGCGGTTAGGCCGGGTCGAGGTCTAGGTACTTGGGGTCCCGCGAGAGAAGCTAGGAGGGTATCGACGAGGGATCTGGGCTCGGCGGGTCGGTTGGGGATGTCGCTGCCGAGTGGGGGGATGTTGGCGTCGTTGTTGGGGTTGGTGGGGGGTGAGCTGGTGGGAAGGCGAGGAAGGCGAGGTGAGCTGTTAGAGGGAGAATCTTTTTCAATGGTGGGGATTGGGTTGTCGGCGCTTTTGTTGCTGGGGATGGGGCTGTTTTCCTGGTCGCTGTTGCTCCTCCTAATGCTATTGTTGTCACTACCGCCGGTGTTGGCGTTGTTGTTGACGTTGTTGTTGTTATTACCGCCGTCTCCATTCCCGTTATTGCCCCTACTGTTATTCCCATTCTTCCCATCGTTACTCCCATTACTGTCTGGATCATTACCACCAGGAGCAACAGCAACACCAACAGGAGTGGGAGAACCCCTATTACCCCCCACGGCCACAGTTCCCCCGCCGCGGGCAGGCGTAACGACGACCCCCCCTCGACCACTGAATCCGCCTCTCCGGAGAGGTGTCTGTGGACGTCCCGCGGCCGACGCACCACCTCTGGGAGTCCCATCGGTATGATTCCCACGACCGCTCCCACTACCCCGACCATTCCCACTTCCACTCCCATTACCTGCAGCGTCCGCATTCTGCTCCCCCTCACCACTCGGCTTTTTCTTCTTGCCTAGATTTGTCCCATTCTCACTCCCACTCCCACCTTCACCTTCACCTTCGTCCCTCTTCCGCTTCTTTGTATTCGTAGGCTTCGATCCAGAACCCCCCTCATACTTGACCTCAGATCCCGCATCCTCAGGTACCGAAGGTAAAGCCCCCTCCGCAGCCTGCCCCTCCGCAGCCTGCGCCTCACCCGACCCTGTCCCCGGATCTGCCGCTGCCCCCGGCGTCGGCGGATCCTGATATACACTCCACGACCGATGGCGCCTCCGGGCCTCCGCAGCAATACGGTTACGTTCCGCCGCCGCCTCGGCCAGCAGAGCGCGACGGCGAGCCCGTTCTCCTCGGTTCTGGGCTTGGGTTCCTGGGGAGGCTGGACCGGCGGTTGCTGCTCGCGATGGTGGTGCGCGCGAGGGGGCTTGTGATGGTGGTCGCGATGAGGCTCCGGCAGGGCCGGGGGTAGTTGGGGCTTGACTCCCTCGGCCACCGCCGCGGGCGCGGCCTCCTCCTCGCGGCGGCATTGCTTTTTTCTGGGGTGGTTTGACTGGTTAAGTTGTGTATCTCTCTCGGGTTTTGGAGTTCTTGGAGTGGGTGTTGAGATGGTTGGGGGATGTTGTATTTGGGAGTTTTTTGTTGTTTATCTAAGAGGGGAAATTTCTAAGAGCAGAAACATCTAAGGAGAAAAGAGAAATGGGGGACTGGCTGCGCGGGTTAGCGATGTGGTCTTGTTAAAAAAGTCGTTGTCTAGGTTATGACTGGGCTGAGTTTGTCAACCGTCTTTGTGTGCTTGCTCATTGTTCATTGTGTTTTCTCAGTTCAATGAAAGCTGTTTATGAAGTGGGGACTTTGTTGTAAATTTGTCTGCCATATTCAGATAAAAGTGCTGTTGACGAAATCGTCAATGGCTTTGAGGTTTGTTGGTATTGTTGCCGGATTAGGAAATCTGTTCGGGGACCCTGGGGTAGGCCTTGTAAGGTGTTGGTGAGCCTGGCTAGGAGTCATGAACATTTTCACACAAAGAAAGCCAGTCAACAATTAACCACGTCACGGGTATCACAACCAGTCAATCTACAGATTCATACCATACTTGCTTGAGAGCTTGGCCTGGTTCATCTTTTTCATCACCCGAATCAATACCTTGTTCAGAATACATCATGTTTCCCACCTACTCACCCCCTTACCACCACGCGATCCCAGATAATTGATTAATCCATATCATTGCCCCAGCTACATCTCCCCGCCTTACATCCCTCACAAAACTCGTGTTCATGGTCCGGCCCCTTCTGTCGCCTAAAACCTTCCCCCCCCATTTTCATCCCCGACCATTTTTTCAACCGATACACCACCCTCTCCACATAGCTCTGCTCATCCAGCCTAATAATTCCCAGTGTATCACACGATTTGCACCGCTGCCCATACACCACGGCATTGTACCAGCGGCCGGGGTATTCTCGAATGACAATTGCTATCTTTTTGCTTCCCCAACCGTGCTTTTTGCAGGCTTTGTTGGGGCACGTGAAATCGCCCATGATGCGGGTGTCGTAATCTTGCTTGGTCCCGGCGTCAGTGTCTTCGGGGTGGAAGTCCCATTTCGGCAAAATGGGGGGCGATATGGAGGAAAGGGATTCGATGACGCGGTCATGGAGGTCCGGGTACATCGCGAATGGCTGATTGGGGGGTGAGTCGGGTGACTGTTTGGCCGTTGACTGGTTGCTCGTTGACTGCTTGGACTTGGACTTGGATTCGGACTTTTTGCCTTTCTTCTTTTTCTTATTTCCGGATTCGGGGGGGTGGGCTGGGGCCGTAGGGATTGGGGCCGTAGGGACTGGAGTTGTCAGAGCGGACACGTTCATTGTGGGAGGCGGCATGGTGGCAGAAGTTGATTGAGTGCGAAGCTGCGCTTGAAACCGGAAGAGAGTAGGTATCGCCGTCCTGATCGCTAGCGGGGGTATGTAAGGAAGGATGCGAAGGGCCATGCTAAAGGTGGGCTCGCGGTCGGTTATGAAGAGTTCGGTTCGAATGTCGCGTGCCAAAACAGAGTGAAAGGAAAGGTGGTCCCCGGATGTCACCCCGTGGAATGAAAGACCAAGGGGGAATGCAAGTGAGACTGCATTCTCTGATCTGTCCGACACCGCTCGGCCGTTTGTTGCCCGATCAAACGGTCTGGAAAGGGCTGATGCATGCTGAATGTGTGTTTCTTGCCAATCCGAGTAGGCCATGGCCAACTCGCCTCATCGATGGCCGGTCTTGGAGGGGAACTTGCATACATCATGTCCAGTGTTCTTGTCCAATGGATAAAAGGACAACAAACGGGATGGTCGGCCTCAGTGCATTTCCCCGCCCAGTTACCACGGAGCTTGATCATCAAATATCTGACCGCTTTTACGAGGCTCCTTTGCGAGGATTGGGATCTTTCCTAGTCTATATTAACAGCTTGATCAAAGCCAAACGAACATCAGGTCCCACAGTTCCAATATGTGCATGTCTTGGAGAGTTAAGTAAAGTTACATGTGAGCAACTCGCTTGCCAACTGAGTATTCGCAAATAACCGAACACTCTGTCGTCAATCCAGTCCTTCTGTTTGAAAGGGATATATGACTGCAACTCCCATCCTTGTGAGTGGTGTTGAGGATAAAAGCTGTGCTTTTCTCAGACCGTCTTCGTGGTTAACGAGTATTCTCAACTCCTCGCATCTACGCTTGAGGGGCGAGTGCGTACTGAACCCCCCGTAGACAGCTGTGATTCCGAAGACGTCGCAGACCCATGACTCGGTACACGCTGGTCCTTCGTCCGCACCCCTGGCAGTCTTTCATTCACTTCCTCTGACCTCAACCCGGTCAATGAATCAGACGGCCCGTCAGGGTTGAGAATCCACCACAAAATAGGCCACACAGTGTCCTTTGAGCAAGTGGCGACCGGGACAGCAGGGAGCGGGTATGACCCTCGCAGTGTGGCGACGAGGGCAGGCGTTGCTAACGACGGGTCGTAGGAGGCCTGAATTACCCGGACTCGAGTATCTTCAAAACAAATAACCGTGCTCTGGCCCGGGACGCAAGGTTAGTCATGCCAAATGTGAGGGTGAAGGCCGCCTGAAGGAACCAACCAACCTTGACAATGCTGTTTCCGACACGGAGTTTCCAGCCTGTGAACTCGTAGCCGTCTACCGGGGTCTCGTTGATCTGAAGGCGCATGGGGCACACGCAGGCGAGTAGCTCGCTTCGGAGAACATACTTGTCCGCTGGGCCTCGGTTGGGCCGCGCGTCCACCGGAGCAGTTTGATCGGCGAGCATGCAGCCCCAGTTGGTGGCTGTGTGCTCAATCATGGTTTCCCCAGCCCACGATATATGGCCGCTCTCGTGGAAGCTCGGCCCTGCAAGACAATCCTCCCGAGGGTCGCGTCTGAAAAGCCTAGAGGGGCGCGGCAGCGTGTCAGCGCAGCTCGACATTGAGATAGTTTCTCCAAGCGGAAAGGAATCGTACCCGCAAAGGAGCGGCGCCGTGGCTTGCTGATCCTTGAGAGCAGAGTGCGCAGCGCGGCAGAAAACGGCGGCCCAGGCGAATGCCGAAGGACAACGCGGAGAATTGACCGTAACGTGACAGGCCTCGAGTGCCTCACGGGACGGCCGTGGACAAATTGGGATAGAATCTGCTTCGCTATACTCGCAGTGGATGTTGAGCGCCTCATTTTCGAAATTGGTAACTATAGAGAAACGAGTCGTATTCGGCACGGCAGAGCTTGTCCAGGATGCCGACTAACCTAGTATCGAGTCGCGCCCAAGCATTGGGTTCGGGGGAGGTTGAAAGGCTCATAATGAATGCCTTGAGCGAAGCCGAAAGTGTGCGCAAGATATCCCGTAATTAGACTGGTGGGTGAATTAATGCAGATGCGGAGGGTGCAGCGGAAAGAATGGGAAATAGACTCGCAGGAAATCAAAACAAGCCCGTGACAAAAAGTAGTTGATATCGGAGCAACGTGCTGATTACTAGTAGGTAATTAATCCGTCAACTGGGAAACAAATGTTCGGCAAGGGGCGTGCCTGGTAAACAGGAATAACAGAAGACATGACAATCGGACGATTGCGGTTCACGCCTCATAAAAGAAACGAATACCAGGCCTGTACAGGAACAGTCATTTATTGCTGAAGTAAACTTTCGGACAGTATCCGCAGCAACCCGTCCAGCTCTCCCCTCTACTCTTCCACTTTACCCACAGTTCCAATGTTCAAAACAAGGGAGATTTTCGATGGCCAGAGCCCAAAATCGTCGTTCTCTAATTTTCTACCATAATAACTCTGGAAATTGTTCCTAAAATGAGTTTTGATTCAGTGCGAATAAAGGACAGCAGCAGCAGAAGCAGCAGCGGCAGCAGCAGCAGCAGCAGAAGCGCTCAGGGAGAGGAAAAGTGAAGAAATGGGGAGGGGGCTTGGCGACTTGGTAGTAGCTCGGGCATAGGGTGTTACGGATTAGAACGTCACGGATTTCGTGTACACCACACCACAGTCCTAAAATCTCAGGTTGAGTTCCCGGTTGAGAGATTTAAACAAATTCAACGCAGGCTTCGGAAATACTCGGCCGTAGACCAGGACCACCCACGTGGAGGACTTGCAAGTTCTGCTGTTTTCAAGGCCCACAACCAGAGAGCGGAAATCGACAAGGTTTCCTTTCTGGGCCGAATCCACGAATCAAAGCTGGCCCTATTGTTTCACTGCGGTGTCCGCCCCGGACAGGGACCTAGCAGGAAACAGGGCTACACAGTAGGGATTGACTTCGGATTGGCCTCGAGTCCGTATATATGTCCATGTCAACTTCAACAGAGCGTGGCATGTTGGTCGCTGGCGAATAAACACGAGAATGCTCCCTTAGCCAATTCCTGGCTTGGTAAATCGGGCTGTTATTTGTCGACTTGTTGGCGACATGCAATTGGGGCTCCCCAACAGCTGCCCTCCCTCAGCCTCGCTGATAGTCAGATACCCGCGCTAGGATCCACACTGGTACCCACACCGAAACCCACATTTTTGAACAATAAATCCACCAAATTCAACCAGTATTTCCGAACCATCCACGTGCATCGAGACGCCGTCGTGGATCAAGACGGAGGTGATTTTCATCCTTCTCCCCGGACGTAATATCCCAAGCACGCCGGGCCATTTCGACCGCAGCGGGCGTGCAGAGGGACGCAGACCACTCGAGACGTGGTGTCCGTCCACGTGTGGACTAACCCCAGCGCGCTTATATCAATGCGGCGACCGAGGGAAAGCGCCACACCTGCAGGCACTCCGGGCGTTGAAGGTTGGCACTTTTGGCAGCTCAACCTCCAACGCGGGGCAGATTGGCGGTGGTTGCCAACTTGGCAATATAAAAGCTGGCGGCCGAGCTCCAAGAGTCCAGAACCCCAGACTGCCGTGCCAAGCAGTCTTGGCTTTTCAGAGCTCCGAGCTGAGACACTGCCGTAACCTTGTCGATTCTCCACCCTCCCCGGCTTAGCTTAGCGTCAACGTGATTTGCCATGCACTTAAAGCTGCAGAGCTGTGCCGTCAGCTGGGTGCTGCTCGCCGGGCTCGCCCGTGCCGACGCCGACGATGCCAAGTACAAGCACGTCGCCTTCTTCAGCATCGACGGCTTGCACGCCTCGGACGTGCCCAAATGGGTCAGCGCCGAGCCCCACGGCGCCATCGCGTCGCTGCTCAAGACGGGCTATTGGTACGCGGGAGCCCTGACGTCGGCGCCGTCCGACTCGTTCCCCGGCATCGTCAACTTGGTGTCGGGTGCCAAGCCGGCCCAATCGGGCATTTGGTACGATGATGGATATGGTAAGTTGCATTTCGCCTGTCCTTGGCACCAGCGTGCTGTTGGTCACGTGACACGTCGCTGATCCATCAACAACAACAGACCGCAGCCTTTGGAATCCCTTCTCCCAGACGGGGACCAACTGCCAGGGCGCGCCGGGTGCTGAGGTCGTTTACGACGAGACCAAGGACTACGACAACACCAAGCTCTGGTCGTCGCCCAACCCCACCGTGGTCGGCGGCAACATCGACCCGGCCAACCTGCCTCAGGCCATGGTGCGCGGCGAGTGCATCAACCTGTACCCGCACCAGCGGCTGCGTGTCAACACCATCTTCGAGGTCGTCCACCCCCATGGCCAAACCGCCTACACGGACAAGCACCCGGCGTACGACATGGTGCGTGGCCCCTCGGGCAAGGGCCTGAGCGTCGGCTACTTTCCCGAGATCCAGAGCGTCGACAGTAAGCCACCCAGCCCTTCTTCCTACACTTACGGAGTAAAGGTTGGTCCACTAACCTCCCCCGCAAAGCCACCAACGTGACGCAGATCATCGGCTACGACACGCTGCATGTGCAGGCCTTCCTAGACTGGATCGACGGCAAGACGCCGGCCAACACGGAGGTGCAGGAGGCGCTGACAGGCATCCCCAAGCTCTTCGGCGGCAACTTCCAGGCTGTGTCGGTGGCGCAAAAGTCGTACGGCTACGAGCCCCACACGGTGGCCTTCACGCCGCAGCTCACCACGGCGCTGACCTTTGTCGACGACTCGCTCGGCAAGGTCGTCGCGGCGCTGCAGGCCAAGTCGGTGCTCCATGATACCCTCATCATCGTGTGTGGCAAGCACGGGCAGACGCCCGTCGACCCGACGCTGTTCCGACGCGTCGACCAACACCTGATCGCGCCGGCGGCGGGTGTAACGGTCAGCCAGGTGACGGCCGACGACGTCGCGCTGCTGTGGCTGGCAGACCAGCGGGACCTGGCCAAGGCCGTCGCGGGGCTGGAGAAAGCGCGTGCGACGCTCGCGATCCAGGACATCATCTACGGCGACCGGCTGCGCGACCTGGGCTTTGGCGACCCAGCCAAGGACCCCGCGGTGCCCGACATCATCATCGTGCCGGACCTGGGCGTCGTGTACACGACCAGCCACGCCAAGATCGCCGAGCACGGCGGGCTGAGCGCCGATTCCCGCAACGTCTCGTGCTTCGTGAGCAACCCCAGCCTGCAGAAGCGCGAGTTCGACGGGCCCGTGAGCACCGCGCAGGTGGCCCCGACCATCCTCAAGGCGCTGGGCCTGGATCCCAACGAGCTCGACTCAGTCAAGCACGGCGGCGACGACCTGGACGTGCTGCCTGGGTTCTAGGTAACCGTAGCTGAGCGTTGTGATGCGACAGCAGCATCCATGTCTTGGCAGCCTGTCATTGTGGCGAGATGTTGGAGCTTCATCGTCTTCTTGGAGGGAGAGTTCACTTAATCTGTAACGTTACCGGTAATACTAGGAACAAAATGCAATGCTTTGGCAATGTGGGAGGGACTCGGGCAGTGTGTGCTGTAGATGCAGCTGAACGACAAATAAAACTCCTCTCAGAGTGGGCCACCGAGGCCGCCAAATTCAGGGGCGCAGTCACGTCCTGCCTAACCTCTCGACATTGTCTTTCATCGACCTCGTTCCGTAAAATTGGCTCGCCGCTGTCCGTCCTGAATAACACAGTCCCCAACGCGAAAGGGAATATAAAACCACCAAGCAAGGTTGGATTCCAAGATGTCGATGTTCATGCCAAAAAGGCTCTACATCCGTGTTAGGCATCGGCCTTGCGATAGGAAGCATAACGTCAAGGATCGTACTGCGATGAACATGAGTGGGAGAAAACCAAACTGCCAGCATAACTAATTAGCAATTGATATACGAAGTAGACAACTATTAGCACTTACTGTGATCTAGCTAAGGGGCTTCATGCTTACGTTTGGTGATGTTTATTTTTGCGCTTCCGCTATAATTACGTACAAGAGGCGTCTAGAGCGCATGTCTATTCCCATGAAATCATTGGCCGATGTAGCCAACTTAGTGTCGTCTTGAGAAAGGGGGTAACCTCTACCCCTTCTTTATATTATTTTCCAGCCTCTTCGTAATAGTCGTGGACTAGCCGTTGGAAATCTCAAGGTGCTGCCTGGAGCTAGGTAGGAGGGACCTCTATGTAGAAGCCTCCACGAAGCGGAAGCTGTTAGTGCTTCGTGGAAGGAGTAATAGGGCATTTCGCAAGTCCCGTTTTTCGACAGCAAGTTGAAGCGGCGTGGCCTCGCTGAATCCGGTATATCCGTTTAAGCACCTCTATCAAGGAGCCGTTGTACGACCTCCGCGTTCCCGTTGAGGATGGCGGCATGAAGAGCAGTTCTACACTCGCCCCCTTGAGCGTTGACGGCTCCACCTTTTGTCAAGGAGTCGCACGACCTCTGTGTTCCCTCGCCATACGGTAGTTTTTAAGATCTTACTACGGCAGGCAAACATGAGAACCATTGGTAAGGAAGCATCCACATAATCAATGAACCAAAAGTGAAGCTTAGAACAATATTGGGTTCTATTTCAATGTATTTATCAAAGCAGAATGGCAGATGTACTGTATATTTGGTCATGCCCAGTACAGCATCTCCGAAGCATCAACATGCCTTCCCCAGTCCATTGCCAACCCACAAAGCCTTCGTTCTACAGGCAAAGAACCTGCTGCGGCACCTGGTAGCTGCAGTCTGAAAGATGTTGTCAGTACCTCGGACACGATAATTGCCGTTGTCAGGTAAAGAAAGAAAGTGCCAATACGTACGGCCACGGAACTGGTTGCCAAGCCCATCAATGAAAAAGGCGCAGTCCTCGCCGTCGTTGTGCAGTGTCTCTGTGTTTCTGTAGGTGCAAGATTCATGGACCCAGGCTGGGTAGGAGAACGACGCAAGCTGGTTAGTCATGATGGCTTTACATGAGTGCTTTTTTGCAGGCTGGGGGTCGGAAAAGCACTCACCGCCTCGGATCAGGTAGAAATTGTTGTTGGGTGTCCAGACGCCGTTGTTGTTGGGGTCCTGGGTCCAGGCGTGGGAGCCGGCCGCGAGAGAGAGGACGGCGGTAACGATGGTGAATGTGAAACGCATGTTGGGTGGTGGCAGTTTGGTAATCTTCGGGAGATTGTCCGAGAATTGGTGATTTGAGTGTTTGTGAAGAGGAACTGGCTTGACTGGTTCTGTCTGAAGAAGAAGTCTTTGAGCACAACAGAGATGGGACAGCGGCTATTTATCATTTTTTCCTCTTTTATCCTCAACCGCCGTATTCGTAACCACCGGACGGACAATTGATAATCTTCACGATGCCCCGGTCCGATGCCCAAGTCCCTCGCAGGACGGGGACTCAGAAACTCCGTCAAGCGAGGTAATCACGGCCAGTCAGGGACTACCTGCAACCGCAACCGATGACAACATGCGATGGGTCAGTACCAACCCGGTCAGCAAGACAGAAATCTCCGGATTGACAACGAGGAGGTCTAGACTCTCCTCAATAGCGCCACAATACAGACACGGTAGGTGGAGATAGGTCGTGCCGCGGCAACCGGGAAGCAAGCGAAAGGATCGTGGCCGAACAGGTGGGCCGGTGAAGTCCTGATGCTCCGCCTCTCTAGCTCTGATGATGGTTCGTGTTCAAAATTAATTGACCGGTCGGCCACATTTGCGAGTTTCTGGGTCGTTTAGAGGGTTCGGTCACTTGAGTAGTTCGGTCACTTTAGTCAAAGACGTTGGGGGCCGGGAATTGGGGGCCAAAACTATACGGATATGGCAACACAGGCGAACGGTAGGTAGGTTCCACCAAGCAGAGAAATGGGCGTCCGACGGTGATATCTTGCAGCCACAACTCATTAAATAGTCAAAACAAAGGCGCTTTTGGCCCCCAAGCATGTAGATTATCAATAGTCTTGTGTCCTAGCCGCTGGAATACATGTGCCGTGGTAGGGACTGCCAAATTCTGATTGCTTAAGTCGGACCCCCCCCCCCTTGGAACACCTCACCTTTGGAACACTTGGCAAACCCACACCCAAAGATCCACCCATCTTCTTCAAC